GTCTGTGTCTTTCTTATGCTGAGGGCTCCAGAGCTGGACGCAGTACTCCAGGTGGGGTCTCACCAGAGCAGAGTAGAGGGGCAGAATCACCTCCCTCGACCTGCTGGCCACGCTTCTTTTGATGCAGCCCAGCATACGATTGGTCTTCTGGGCTGCCAGCACACATTGCTGGCTCATGTCCAGCTTTTCATCTACCAGTACCCCCAAGTCCTTCTCGGCAGGGCTGCCCTCAACCCCTTCATCCCCCAGCCTGTATTGATACTGGGGGTTGCCCCGACCCAGGTGCAGGACCCTGTACTTGGCCTTGTTAAATCTCATGAGGTTCACACGGGCCCACTTCTCAAGCTTGTCCAGGTCCCTCTGGATGGCATCCCGTCCCTCTGGCGTGTCGACCACACCACTCAGCTTGGTGTCATCTTATTTTGCTTTTGTAAACTTGCAAACTTTTGGCATCCACCTTTTCCCTTTCCATGAAATATGCCTTAGTGGCAGATGATATCATCTGCTTTGTCAGGCACTTCTTTTAAGCACAAACTGCAGATACCTGCTTTTCTAGGTTTATCTTGAAAGTTTTCATTTGCGTTTGCATGTTCTCCCTGTCTAAGGACATTGCTTTGTTTATAGGCGCCTATTTCATTCACCTGTCTACCCATTGGATTTCCATTGCATCATTTGCTGCAGCTTCAACCCAGGTTCTCAAGAATAATTAGGCACTTAAATCCCATTCAAATCAACCTGATTTGGATATCTAAACAAGTCCTTAGAGTGGGAGTGTCTTCCACATCAGATCACGTCAGCCATGCTGTTATACAGGCAAACCTTCAAATCCTCAGAGGTAAAAATCTTTTTCCAAATGTTCAGTCCAAATCTCTCAAACTGCCATTTGTGGCCCTGATTATACTATTTACTGCTACCCAGAAAAGTTTGGCTCTGTCATCATTGTTACTCCCCATCGAGTATATACCGAGGCACTTATAGTGTGCCATAGAGATTGATAAATACGGATGAATACCCCAAAACTAGGGGTATGCGATCAAAGATGGTAGAGAGCGCTCTTTTGTGTTTGAATTTGTGTTAGAAGCAATGTAAGATAGCATATAAGAGGATGATTAGAAAAAAGAAGCCTTCAGGATTGTAACTATCTAGCCTCCCTCCCTAGCTTGTTTAAATCTCCCTAGTGGGCTGTGCAAATAGCACAGATGTCAGTGGTTTATTCTGTTTTTCAGACCGCAGTGGTGTTGCAACAGCAGAAGTTATTGCTAAGCTTGCATCACATTTACTACTGTAGACTCAGGGCTTTCACTTTGATAACTGGTACAACATAGAAACAAATCTGAGATAAACTTTATCAGCCCACTGTATATCAAATCTCTGCCAATCATTGCTTCTTGTTTAGACTCTGAGAGCACAAGGTAATCCAAAGGTCAGACTTTTGTTCCGAGTTTTGTGTTCAATCAGCTGAGCAGACTCGAGGTAGGGAGTTCATCATTAACTAGATTTTAATAAGATAGTGATTGCTTGGTCAGGTATTACCTCCCATTCATAACTCTGTTCAGCCTTTCAGTGTGACACATGGCCAATTGCTTGACACCTCTCCCTCGAGCATTTGAATTCTCTAATGTTAATTCAAGCATTCAACTTTACCTTGCAGTGCCCAGTTGCTTAAAGCCTTCACCATGTGCACAGATGATAAACCCAACCTTTACCCATAGTTAAAAATTACCCTCATTTCTGCCCACAAACATACAGTCTGTTAAAAATTAAACACTTTTACCTTAGTTAAGATTGAAGTGCAAAGTACCCCACGATTCACTCCCCGTCCCCTGCGATAGTTTTGTGGCTGTTTAAAACTTTGCTGACAGCACAAGGAAAATGGCTTCTTCAAATCCAGGATTTAATTCTCTTGCCTCCTGGGCTGTGTTTTTCTTGCTCCTGTGGACCTTTTCTGAAGGTGGAAAGCTTTTGGTTGTACCTATCGATGGCAGCCACTGGCTCAGCATGCACCCAGTTGTGGAGCGGCTCAGACAGAGGGGACATGAAATCACGGTGGTTGCGCCAGAGATAAATTTGCGGATAGATTCGTCAGTGCATTACACCATGAAAACATACTCAGTGTCTTACACCAAGGAGTATGTGGAGGCAGAATTTAAAAAGCTGGGCTATAGGAGTTTCACACCTCAACCCTTCATGGAAAAATTCTCAAAAATGGCAAATATTACAACCATGTTCTTTGATTCCTGCAAACGTCTTCTGTCTAACAAAGAGCTGATCGAATACCTTGAGGAAAGCAAATTTGATGCTGTCTTTATGGATCCTTTTTTCCCATGTGGACAGATAGTGGCCGAACATCTCTCCCTACCTTCTGTGTACCTCGTACGGGGACTGCCGTGCAGCCTAGACTTCCACGCTACCCTCTGTCCAAATCCTCCTTCTTACGTTCCTAGGTTCTTCACTCGCTACACGGACCGCATGGCGTTCCTCCAGCGCACGGGCAATCTCATAGCTAGCCTGAGCAGTTCCCTGGCTTGCAGCTTGCTTTATTCACCGTATGATTGTTTGATCAAAGAATTCCTCCAACAAGAGGCAACAGTGCTTGAGCTGTTCAGCCACGCGTCTATTTGGCTCATGAAATATGACTTTGTGTTTGAGTACCCCAGGCCCCTAATGCCTAATATGGTCTTGATCGGAGGCATAAGCTGCACTCAGGAAAAAGCATTATCACAGGTTAGTTACCTTTTTTCCCCTAGTTTAGCTATGGCTGTACTGTTTGCTCTCACCATGAGATGGAGCTCCGGGGAGTAACAAATAATAACAGGTGAAAGAGCGAGGTGGAAGTGGCTAGGAAAGTACTTTGCACCTCTGCATCCCTTGTGCATTAAGGAGTATGTTACTTTGTGGGAGACCTCCAGATTCCCAGACAAGCATGCATACAAAGCTGGGCTTTTCCAGTTCTTTTCCCCCAGTATTTTCTGGCTGCCTATTTCCAGTAATTTTGTTTTGTATACCTGTTTACAAGACTTGGTGCTAGCTAGGGTAATGCAGCAGGCCACATCATCCTAGTCCCCTGCCCTTGAGCAGAGGACCATTTCTGCAGGAATTTCAGACAGTAGCAGACCTGAATGAAATCCCCACCACTCAGTGAAGCAGCAAGAGATCTGCTTCTTTTGTGTAAAATACTCTGTCCCAGATCTGAACTGCACCTGTATTTTGCTTGAACTATGCTAACCTTCCTAAATATGGGATATCTGTCACTTTCCACTAAAAAATCCTCCTAATTCTTAGTGCTTTCTCCTGTTTTTCAGTGAGTGTCTACTGCAGGTATTTCATAAAGGTCATGTGTAGCACCCACTGATACAAGCAGCTGCTGATTAAAAAGACTTTAGTAAAACAACCCACCTATTCCCAAAGCAGGGCTGCAAAAATTTCATAATGGTAGTGGCATTTCTGAGCAGAAAGTCAGACCTTGGCACACAAAAACATTCAAAGAACAGAGTAAAACTGATGTGACTAGTCCCACAGAAAATAAATAGGGCTAAATACACCCTGAAATAGCCATATCTGTTCCACTGCATCAGGAACTGCCAAAGAATTTTGTACCAAAAGCACATTTGTAGTTTGGGGAGGATTTTGCAGTTCCCAGATGTTGTGAGTTTATATAGAACTGAGCCCTGAGTTCCCAACCAAACATCTACAACGCCTTAATGGAGAACGTGTCTTCAGAGAAATCTGGTAAGACAGAACCAAGCCCTGAAATGAGAGTTACATTTCACCTTGTTTGCCCCAGGAGAGCACCAGGTCTGCTGTTCAGGGTGCAGCTATCAGCAAACCTTCAATGGCGCCTTCCATTTGGGATCCAGTCCAAGCGAAGGGCCATGGCACTCTGATCAGCCTCAAAAATACGTAACAGAGCATAAATTAAGAGGGTCAATCTCGGTTATCCCCTCAGACCCTAGAGATAACATCTCAATTGCCAGACTTATGGGAACATTTAATTAATTTTATTCCACTCATTTAACTCTGATGCCTGCAGCAATTCCCTCCAGTTTTGTCTTTCCTTCCCTGGCTTTACCAAATATTTTTCTATGGCACAGGATTTTTGCTCCAGCCTTCAGCTGTTTTTATGCTTCATCGGAATCCTTTTGTTCTTGGATTCCAGTGACAGATCTCCTAGTCCTTCTTTTATTTAAATCAAACAAACAAAACAGATGATAAAAAAAATTGGCAGCGGTTCAGTATTATCATACTCAAAGCAGACCCAGTAAATCCAGATATTAGAAATTAGAACTATCTGCTGTCAGAACATTTTTCAAAATCTTAATTCTCTCTTGCAGCTGCATGGTTTGAAAAGAAGAGCATCAACTCTAAAGCCAGAGCATCTGACTTGCAATAAATGTGAAAATAAACCACAATGTATTCACCTAGGGATTGGTTGCCAGGAAAAGTATGATGATGAATTGATCTCCGTAATTGGTACAGCATCTTTTTTACTGCACAGAAACTGATGTCTTTGAGCAGGCAGGCTTTGCTATGTGACTGTTTTAAAGTAAATTTTTTCTCATGTCCATACTGAATCTTGGTTCGGGCTTCAATTCTGCAAACACTCACGCACCTCCATAACTTTGTTCATCCCACTGTGCCCATCTTTTTCCCCTGGGACTCATTTTCATATAGATAACTAATTTTCCTGATCATAATTTTGTTGTGTTGACTGTTCATTTTATTGCCTTTCCAGCTAGTTTTGTGGGAACATGACAGAAATTACAGTGTATGATGTGGAAGGGACTTTGACTAAGGATGTGCTTTGTGTTGGCAGGAGTTTGAAGCTATTGTGAATGCCTCTGGAGAACACGGCATTGTTGTCTTCTCACTGGGCTCCATGGTCTCTGAGATTCCTATGAAGAAAGCCACAGAAATTGCAGATGCCTTGGGATCAGTCCCTCAAACGGTATGGTTTCCCTTTTCCCCTTCCAGCATAGCAATTCAAGACTTTTCAAATACAGTATATGATTACCTTTGGCTTTCAGTGTGCTTGGTCCCTTCTTTCTTCTACTGCCTGATGCCAGAAGAAACTATCACCCCAGCTGCTCTGCACGACGAAACAGGTTTTGTGCACCACAGATGTTTTCAGCTGTGCTTTTCAAACCCACTGAGGAGCAGCAAGAGGCTGGTTGCTGAGAACTGACATTGTGTTTACTTCTCTTGAAAGGTTTTGTGGCGATACACAGGAGAGGTGCCCCCCAACCTGCCGAAGAACGTAAAGCTTGTCAAATGGCTGCCACAGAATGATCTTCTAGGTAGGTCTGAGATACCTTGAGTGATATACCAGCATGTTTCTTTTAATCTGATAATGCTGTTGTAAGGCCCCATTAGCATCATCTGTGCTGACTCCCTGTATCACTGTGGGTCACAAGGACTTCCTTACAGCCTTTGCTGTTTGAACCAGAGCTCGTCTTTTAGAAACTTAACTGATTGCAACTTCAAAATTGCCGAATTATGAAACAACACTGTTTGGAAAGGTGTTCCATCACTTGACTACCCTTACTGTCAAAAGTGGGTGATCTTTATTTCTGACTAACCAGTCTCAACACCCAGCCATGGGTTTTTGTCATGTTTTTGTCTACTGGACTGAAAAGAAAATTTAAGGTCCCCGAGTGAGCATTTCCAGACAGGTTGTCAGGCTTTTCAAGTGGCAAAATTGTATGTGCTACTGCCAGGAGTGCATTTGTTGGTTAGACAACAAGGCTTGGCTGTGGGAGATCTGCAAAGCCAGCAAATGGAAGACATGGTAAAAAAGCAAGCAATGGTAACATCCTCTTTAACCTCACTTGGCTCTGATTTCATCCTAAAATCTGAGAAGCTTTGGAGGATTATCCAAGGCTTTCCAGAGATTACCCAAACCAAGACAGAGCTCTACAATCCAAGGTTCATTCAATCGCCTGTAATGTCCTGTTCTCTGCAGCCCTAAGTCTGTCCATAAGTAATGATGCACATGACAGCCCGAAGTTCTTGATTTATACCTACCAGTTTCATTTTTGTGCAAGTTTTTCCCCAGAGATGTGTTACTGTGACTTAACAAATCAAATAGTTAAGCAAGTCTTTCTTTCCTCCACAGCTCACCCTAAGACTCGTGCCTTTATTACCCATGGAGGCTCACACGGTGTTTATGAGGGCATATGCAATGCAGTGCCAATGGTACTAATGCCTTTATTTGGAGACCAGATGGACAACGCCAAGCGAATAGAGTCACGGGGAGCAGGACTGACACTGAATATACTCGAAATGACTTCAAAGGACATCTCCGCTGCCCTGAAAGCAGTTATTAATGATAAAAAGTCAGTAATAGAAGCACAGCCTTTCTGCTTTTACTGTTCTGTAACGCCAGTACTCTAGCTTCCAGCTTAACAGAATACTGATCTGTTCTTATATGCCTTCTTATAAAAGTTACATCATCGAGAAGCTGATGCTTGCCCTGGGTTAACTTCATCCTGTCCCTGTAACAGAGCCATCCTTCTCACTGCCTGGGATTATAATCATTAGGTGACTAGAACTGGCTGATGTGAGAGGATGCAGGTATCAGAGAATATGGGGTATAAGTGCAATGGAAGAAATCAAGTTGACAAAAGATGTGTCACCTGCTTAAAGCCAAATTTACCAGGCAGTGATGTCGAGGGCTTTGACACAATGTGGTAGAAAAGGCGATCAGTGAAGGGAGATGTGGCAAACTGCTTTTGTTCCCTAAATCAGTGGTCACATGAGTCAGTGGGGATCCTGAAAAGGTTGAAAGGCGCAGCTGCCTGGCTGATTTTCTTTGCATGGGGGTTGCCCAGAGATGCTGTCTGCACAGCAGCAGGAGGAAGGAGACAAGTGGCAGTGCCTCAGTATAGTCCAGAGGCTGTACTGCATCAGGAAGCATTACCTCCCAGCTGGCAGGGTTTACTAAACATAGCTATTATCACTCATTTATTTTACAGACCAGTCATTTTTCCCCCCCTAGTGCTCATAAGGAGCTGTATGAGCACAGTCAGCTGCTGCCTGGCTCAGCAATGCTGGACAATTCCAGCACAGAGCAGGAGGAATATGTGTGGATACACTGAAGCGGTACAGGGAACCACACTAGACATCATAGTATTGCAGTCAACATGCCCAAGGTGTTTTAAGGCATCACAGCGAAGGGGAGCTTTAAGACATACCCTCCTCTTCCCTGCTCCCATTCTCTGTTGTCACTAGGGCCTCTGAGTCCTTGGCATCCTCTTCCCCAACATGTTTCTGAAAAATGGCACCTATTGCTATTGTTTCCTAACCACTCTTCTTATAGGAATAATAATAACAACAACAGTAATAATAATAATAATAATAATAATAATAATAATAATGCATCTTGATCTTCAGCTGGACAGCTTTTCTACACCCAGTCTCACATTTCAGCCAGATACCTTCACCCCAGAGATTTTGCTGACAGCTCAAACTAAGCTTTTTCTTTTTCTTCTTTTCTAATACCTTTCCCTCTTTTTTTGTCATTGAAAACAGCACTTTTCTGGGCCCATAACTTTGCCATTATCCTCCTCATGAGGTGGTAGTGTTGGGGAAACACCACCAGAGAAGCCCCCAGTGGGCCGTCAGACAACATCCTTGTTTTCTAGGGACTCAGTCTCAGCAGCACAAGTCATTGAAAACACTGAACATCCTTTCTTGGCAGGTACAAAGAGAACATCAAGCGTCTCTCTGACCTTCACCTCGACAGACCCATCCACCCCCTGGACCTGGCTGTGCACTGGGTGGAGTTTGTAATGAGACACAAAGGGGCCCCACACCTGCGACCTGCTGCTCACGACTTGAACTGGATCCAGTACCACTCCCTGGACGTCATCGCCTTCCTCCTCTCTGTGGTGCTCCTCTCCCTCTTCATTTCTCTGAAGTGCTGCCTGTTCTGCTGCCGCAGGTGCTGCTGTAAGAAGGGAAGACCAAGAAAGCCAACCAAATCAAAGTCCCACTAGCAGATGAAACCAGTGGTAGGACATAAGGCCTCCGCTCCAGACCAGAAGGATCAAAGAACATCTCAAATTTCACTAAAATAATTGCTGACTTTCTGTCAAGAAATAATAGTGTTCCTTTAAACTGGCACCATAGGAGGGGTTGTTTCACTGATGATAACAATTTTTGCCTTTAATTAAGAATCGGGTGTTAAAAATAATTTGTATGGGAGTACTTCAGTTACTTGGAAGGATATTAGTCCAAGGCTTCTGGCTTCCACGTCTTGGTGTACAGAGGACTCATGGTGATATTTTTTTTTTTTATCTCTATATGCAGTGGAGAGATATATAGGGATTTCATAAGACTTTGCTTCAAGGGCTTTAGGAGAACCATTTGCTCTAGTGTAAGACTGTCAGGTTTATCAAGCACTTTGAAATCTTTGTATAGCTGTTGTTATAGAAGAGGCAAATGTTACACACTGACAATACATGTCACATAAGCCAAGCTACACGCACATCTTAAATGGGTTTTGTGTGTGTTTACAATACCCTGAACTCAATCAAGGTTTCGGCAGGGAAGTGGTTGTAAAGCCACTAGTGTTTCACCCAAGTTCCCCATCAGGCAGAGTACTGTATCTGGAGTTTACGTGTTAGATGATGAGACCTTTGTAAGCATTGTTTCTAAAACCCAACTGATTTCCTCTTTGTAAGTGATGTTCAGATAAAGACCCAAACCCCACCCCTATAAATAAATCCCCAATACTAACAATAATGGCTCTTATGTTTTCTGACTTGAGAGATATGGGGCTGGACACTTGTTCGATCATGGAGAGGGAGCTGGAGAAGGAAAAGATTCAATGCCCCACAGTGTGAAAGCCACCTCTGCACAAAAGCCAGTTCTCAGCATTACTGTCTCACTGCTTGGTGACTTGGTCCTTGCTGAGGGGTTACATCCTCACTACTACGGATAGAAAAAGTCAGAAAAGACCCTAAACATAAGTTAATATTCAGGGCTCAAAACAGGCTGGGGCATCCTGGTACGTTATGGCGGCGCAGGCATCCTGCTAAGTACCTGGTGCTGTTATTTTCTATTGCTGTTTGAAAAAGCATGTACTTTAGTGAAAGCCATTAAGTTCCAGAAGACAGTCCCTCTGCTCTGGAGCCTGTCCCCATTGCAGTGCCCGATTCTTGTGGGCATCCATGCCACCTGCAACCTGCCCAGGACTGATGCCAACTGTTGCTTTTCATCCTCTGCCTTTCCCTCCCCACCTTCTGCCCTCAGTAAACAGATGGAAACCTCTTCCTTGGGACACACAGAGGGAGTCCCCCATGGTGCATGAGAGCTGACCTGCTTTTAACATACAGCTTTTGCAGGTCCACACGTTCCTGAAGTGACAGCTCTGGCTGTCCCCACAGTCCTGGCTGGAGCCAGGTGACAGCAGTGCATCTGTGCAACGGTACGCAGCGCCTCTGGAAATGAGACCCAGCAAGACCTCGCAGTGCCCATCGCACTACCAACCGCAGTGGTTTCAGTCATCTCTGAGCATGGGGCTGGCTTCCAGCAGCTGTCTGATGCAAAAAGCACTTTAAAACGTCCTTATGGAGATGTTGTCTGAATACCCTGCTGCAAACAGGCTCTGGATCAATCCAGTGACTTTCTCTACATGGACAAGAGAAAACCCCCTTAATTTCAGATCAGATGAACAGAATTTAAAAAAAAATCCCAGCTGCAGCTGTTTGGGTTTTGTTTTTTTTTTTGTTCAACTCAAAACCTCTTGTGTAGGTGGAGGAAAGGAGCTAAGAGAGAGGGAGGATGCAAAATGCCCATCCCATGGCTTTCATTTCAGAAAGATCTCTAACAAAGCTGAAGTAAAACAGCAGCAGAAATCAGGTATCCTCCTCCTCCTCTCCTTTTCCTTTTGCTCTCCTTAGCCTTGACTAGTTTGTCCTGCTCTTTATTTTCCCTTGGCTTACCAGAAAAATAAGGAGGAGAGAGGGCCCTTAGGGGACCGGGACTGGACAACCGTCATGTCGTGTCCAGTTTCAGCTGTGCCCAGCAGAGGACACTACGATACCACCAACAGGAGGGAGCAAGGAAAAGGCCATCCTTCCCCACCAAGCCAGCCCAGGTGGGTCGGTGGAAGTCAACAGCAACTTGTTTATCTGCCTGTGCTCCAGGAATACGGACCCTGCTGCAGAGAGATCCTTTTCAGAGTGAATTAGGGGCCAAACTGCGTGGGACAAGCCGCTTTGGTGCAGAGGAGGGAAATGGAGGGGCTGCAGTATCAATGCAACACAGCCTTCCGAAGGGAAGAGTTACTCTGGGGATGCCATCCACTCTTATCGCCCCTTAATCAGCTACCATATAGAGCCATGCTGCCCCTTAAACAGGTCAGAAAGCCCAAGCCCCTGCTTCCCTTACTGGGAGAAGGAGAAATCATTGCTATGATGCATTTCTAAGCAATAGAGCTGAAATTGGGCCACTTCCCAGAAGGGGAAACTGAGGCAGGACCAGCCATCGCCCCTCTCCCTGAGCTGTGCAGGTTCTACATCGCCCCAGGGCTCCAGGCACTGCAGCCTGAGCTTTTCCAGCAAACCCTCCAAAGCTCTGCTTTTAAACACTTGCCATAAACCAGCGGCCAAAATCCCTCACTGCCCATGGAGAAAGGAGAGGCACAAACACCTCCCGCCTCCAGCAGCCTCTCAGCATAGCCAAGTGCTCATGTAGCACCCCTTTGGATCTGTGAAAGAGGACAGCTGTTGCTTTCCGCTCCCACCCGGGGACTTTTTTAGTGTTTATTTTATTTTTTCCTGGATTTTAACATCCAGGCTTGCAACAGTAAGGCTGGGAATGAAAAGCAGTGCAAGCCAGTGCTGCTCCTGGCTCTGGTGACCCTCAGACCCCCCCTGGCTGCAAAACATGGGCAAGAGCTTCTTTGGCTTATGGATGGGGATGTCCTGGGGGACACAGCAGCCCTGGCTCTGGTGGGAGGGTACAGTTGGCATCTCTTGCTGCTTCCCACCAGCCAGACCTCGGGAAATGACAGGAATTGCTGACATTTTTCTGCAGCCTCACCCCAGCCCCCTGGTCCCCAAGGGCAACGGGGGAGGTTTTTTCCACTGCCACAGAAGCTCTGGGTGTCGCTCCGGGCCCCCCCCCCCCCCGCGT